GGCATGGACTTCTTATGCCTCCATGGTGCTGTCAACAACCTAAAAACAAGGTCGATAACGTTATCCACAGAAAAAGCACTACCGCCGCGCACGCCGTCAGGACACCATGCCTTGAATGTGCTGGAAGAACAAGTCACCATTCCGCCTCGCTCAAGCGTCATTATTTCAGTCGGCGCCCCTAAATCACCTGACTTGGAAGGCGTCGTTGAAGGCAGTCAGCATCTGTTGGTCACCCGAAATATTTGCGTCGCAAGAGGAATTGCAGAGCTGCGGGGAGGCAAAGCAACGGTTATGCTCACGAATTTCAGCAATGAGTACAAACATGTGAACAAAGGAACAACGGTCGCATACATCGAAGAAATTGTCGAAGCCACCAGTGCTTTCGCCCTCGCCGATTCTGCGGAACCTGCTCAGAGGAACCAAGCCCCTCCCATAGCCTTTGACGTCAATCCCAGACTTCCGAACGATAAGCAAGAACCGCTCAAGGCCCCGCTCCTGCAATACGAAGATTGCTTTTCGTCATCATCGAAAATTCGGCAGACCCCAATCACGAAACATCGAATCATAACCGAAGAAAATGCCAGACCACTCCGTCAGAGTCCGTACAGGGTTTCGACGCGAGAACGTGAGGCAATGAAGAGACAAGTTGATGAAATGCTGCGAGATGACATTAACCAGCCGTCCAAGAGTCCGTGGGCATCCCCCGTGGTGATGGGGAAGAAAAAGAATGGGACCCTACGTTTCTGCGTCGATTATCGCCGCCTGAACAAAATCACAAGAAAGGACGTGTATCCTCTCCCACGAATAGACGACGCCCTTGATCGGCTCCATAACGCCAAGTACTTCTCGTCAATGGACCTCAAGACTGGCTATTGGCAAATCGAAGTCGACGAAAGAGACCGAGAGAAGACGGCGTTTATAACACCGGACGGCCTCTTCGAGTTTAAGGTGATGCCCTTCGGCCTTTGCTCAGCGCCTGCAACTTTTCAACGCGTTATGGATACAGTATTGGCAGGATTGAAGTGGCAGACTTGCCTTGTGTACTTGGACGACGTCGTCGTGTTTTCCTCGAGTTTCGACGAGCATCTTCGGCGCCTTGAAGCTGTACTTCAAGCCATCAAGACGTCCGGACTCACACTGAAGCCAGAAAAGTGCAGATTTGCGTATGAGGAGCTCTTGTTTCTGGGGCACGTTATCAGCACGTCTGGAGTTCGTCCCGATCCACGGAAAACAGCCGCCATCGCCGACTTCCCGCCGCCCACTGACAAGAAGGCCGTGCGCCGATTTCTGGGCCTGTGCACCTATTATAGGCGGTTCGTGAAAAACTTCGCCCGCATCGCCGATCCTCTCACTAACCTTACCAAGGCCGACTCGGAGTTCAAGTGGGAAACGCCACAGGAACACGCTTTCCAGGAGCTTAAACATCGCCTCTAGACGCCTCCGTTACTTGCCCATTTCGACGAATTCGCTGAGACAGAAATACATACTGACGCAAGCAGCGTAGGTCTTGGCGCCGTTCTTGTGCAGAGGGCTGACGGACTTGAAAGGGTTATTAGTTACGCCAGCCGATCGCTATCCAAAGCAGAAGCAAATTATTCCACAACAGAAAAGGAGTGCCTCGCCATCATCTGGGCTACGTCGAAATTTCGCCCCTACCTCTACGGCAGGCCCTTCAAAGTTGTGAGCGACCACCACGCCTTGTGTTGGCTAGCCACCTTGAAGGACCCTTCAGGTCGCCTCGCACGATGGAGCCTGAGACTTCAAAAATATGACATTACTGTCATTTACAAGTCCGGCAAAAAACACTCCGACGCTGACTGTCTCTCTCGTGCGCCTGTCGACCAACTGCTACCCGACGACTCGGATGACGACTACTTCTTGGGAACGATAACTACCGACGACTTCGCTGAACGACAGCGGGCCAACCCGGAACTTAAAGCCCTAATAGAATACCTCGAAGGCAGGACCGCCGAAGTCCCGAAGGTATTCAAGCGCGCACTTGCGTCGTTCTTTCTACGAAACGGTCTTCTACAAAAGAAAAACTTTTCACCGCTTCGAGCTAAGTACCTCCTTGTGGTGCCTTCAGCTCTGCGACCAGAACTCCTGCAGGCCCTGCACGACGATCCGACGGCAGGGCACCTCGGTGTTTCCCGCACGCTCACGAGGATACAAGAAAGGTACTACTGGCCACGTCTTACCACCGACGTCACTCGTTATGTGAGAACATGCCGGGACTGTCAGCGACGCAAGACACCGCCGACAAGGCCAGCGGGACTTCTGCAGCCAATTGATCCACCTTGCCGACCTTTCCAGCAGATTGGTATGGACCTACTTGGGCCGTTCCCGACGTCGGCTTTCGGAAACAAGTGGATCGTGGTAGCTACTGACTACCTCACCCGCTACGCCGAGACAAAAGCCCTGCCAAAAGGCAGTGCATCCGAGGTAGCTAAGTTCTTCGTCGAAAATATCGTCCTACGTCACGGCGCCCCGGAGGTCCTTATCACCGACAGAGGAACGGCATTCACTGCCGACTTAACTCAAGCGATCTTGGCATACAGCCAAACAAACCACCGCTGGACGACAGCGTACCACCCACAGACCAACGGCCTCACCGAGCGGCTTAACAAGACGATCACCGACATGCTGTCAATGTACGTCGATGTCGAACACAAGACGTGGGACACCATTCTTCTGTATGTGACCTTCGCATACAACACGGCGGTACAGGAGACGACGCAGATATCTCCATACAAATTGGTCTACGGAAGGAGCCCGGCAACGACGCTCGATGCCATGTTGCCCAACGTGACCGACGAAGAAAACCTCGATGTGAGCGAGTACCTTCAACGCGCCGAAGAAGCCCGACAACTTGCGCGTCTTCGTATCAAGAATCAACAGACAACCGACAGCCACCGTTACAACCTTCGACGACGGTTCGTGGAATACCAGCCCGGTGAACGTGTTTGGGTGTGGACGCCGATACGCCGACGTGGACTAAGTGAAAAGCTTCTGCGACGGTACTTCGGACCATACAAGGTGGTTCGACGTCTCGGCCCACTTGATTACGAGGTTGTCCCCGACGGCATCACGAACTCTCAACGACGCCGATCGCGACCTGAAGTCGTCCATGTCGCGCGCCTTAAGCCGTTTCATGCACGTTAACAAACTGAAACAGTGTTTTTTTGTATTATTGTTGTATTGTAATTTATTCATTGTACTTTCTTGTATTATTATTGTACCTTCATCTTTAGTTAAAGCATCGGGACGATGCCTTTTTTCAGAGGGGGGCAATGCCACGTTCCATTTCACAAGTTTTTGTTATCGTTCCGAAACACCACACGATTCTCAGCGCAAACCGCGCCTGCAGGTTTCGAGAAGGTTCCGGACTGTAGTAGATCATTTCGATAAGATCACGCCCACTGTGCGAACGGTACAGATTGTTCTGGAACCTACGCCAACGCCAGCGATAACGCTAGAACATTCGACGGCAAGGGTATAAATGCCGACGCACTTCGCCGCTTGTCAGTTGTTGATCGAAGGCCGACGCTGTGTTCGCCGCTATCAGTCCGAGACTGCTATCTGTGCAAGACTGCTGCTGTAATTAGACTTTCCCTTTACCGGGCACAGGTTCGCCCAAATAAACAGTTAAATCCCAACACGAAGTTTCCTGTCTTTGGCCACGTCACGACCCCGTGACAATATCTATCGAGATTAGTAGATATCTATCTATACCGACTGTCTGCCTACTACCAGGCGTCATTAGTAAACCCCCATACACTGTTTCTTCTGCTCTGAGATGCACCATCGTGGGAGGGCTGGCCGAAAAGTAGGTCCACGCTCTGAATTTGGTTTTTTTGTTTTATAGGTGTACTACTCATGGCTACAAATCGATGTATTTTGTAACTTGCTTCAACTAATTGGTCTCCTGTATAGTTAGTAAAGACGCATCCCATCGGTTCTTATATAATTCTCTTTTCACACTAAAATCACAAATAAATGACCCATTGGAGAGTGCATCACAGGGATGGTCAAGCTCTTGTATGCAGCAGCGCAAACGTTACACGTCGTGAGACAAACGTGAGCATAGCACCCGGCATGGACCTCGCAGTGCGCGAACCTGCAGTAGCCTGTGGCGCGCACAGCTAAGAGATGCAAGGTCATGAGTAATGGGGTTGGTATATATATCATATATAAGACAAAAGCCCTGGTAACCAACAAAGATAGCAGAAGCTCACTGAACATCACATTCTTTCTCACATTTTCCTTCCTCTAAGCAGAAAAACGCGCCAAGCAAGTGCCAGAGATCGACAATACATTGGATTGTGCACAGGCAGCTCGTTGGGTGCCACTCGTGGAGGAATAACATAAAACAATTTTAAGGGCTTGAAAAACATCATAGCATTTGATTAGGTAAACATGGTAACAATGACATGTGGGCCTTTAATTTTTACAACTGCACTGACTGCTTCTAGTTATATCATTGTGTTGGAATCGCTATGGCCACAAAAAGAGCAGCACTAAGTTTGAAAGATTATCCAGAGGCTTCAGTGGATGAAAACATCTCACTTATAGCCATAACCACTTTACTATTCAATAAAACTTATCTCCATGGCGTTCATTCTACAATCAATGTTTATAGATGATCGAAATACAATGTAAAAAGAAACACAAGCTGCACATTAGAACGAGACGAATAATTTAGACAAAAATGCATCGCAAACAATGCAAAATGTGCTAATCAAGACCGCTGTCACGAATACATATTTAACAGATAAGCATGCATTTGCTCTATAGCCAGTTCCTAAGCAAAAGGCAAATGTTGACTATGAAGTAAGGAATAAGCAAAATGCGGGTGAACTTCAAAATGAAGCAACGCATTGATGTCGCTCCATAACTGTTTGTAGTTGAAAGTTTACAGACTGTACATGAATATTTCATAAAAGAACATATATACCACCTGACAAACAAAACCTCTTCAGCACAGTTTTTTTTTTGCTTACCTTGTCAAAGCCAGCATGTGCAGTTGCAGGAATAACCCTGAAACAAATTACCCCATTAGAAAAAGCCTCACTGATACAATGCATACAAGTGCACTTAAGGCAGGGGAAACAAAATGTAAAAGCTACTAATATTGCCTACAATCATCACATACACTCACACTGTGCTATATCAGATACAAAATCTTTAGAAAGTGTTTTTTTTTTTTTCCCACGTCTTTTACACAAGCAGCCATTTCTTTCACCCTTTTCAAGACATTACCCATAATTGTTCTAGGGACTATCATATTAGCACAACCAAAATAAGACTGAAAACCTCTGTCAGAAACTAGTAAACTAAGTTATTGCTAGTACACAGAACGACACTAAACCTGGCAACCACAGGCACAGAGGATTCAGAAAGAAAGAAAGTTGTTACTGTAGCATTATGCCTTTAAAACAGCTGGCACTGCCAATGTGAAGCAGGTTACGTGCGAGAGATGGTGCCACACCAATGCTCTCTACATAAGTGAATGTTCGCCAGTATGAAGGTTTTTATTGGCCCTAAAGCTCCTGGTGTGCCAAATCGCCTTTCTTCAAATTTTGTTTGTGTTCCCTGGCTTGATCATTGGGGCACTAGAACATGACGAAAAGCTGAAAAAAAGACAATTCAGCACACCAGCCTGCCCACTGCAAAGACTGCGCCTCTGAGCCACTGTTTCAGGGGATGAAGATTTCGTGCAGAAACCAAAATCAAACAGTTTGAAAGCTCTTCTAAAGCTTAGGTCCACTACAACGGACCACTGTTCAGATGCAATGGACTAATATTCAGCCTCAGTTTGGTCTGTGTTAAAGCTAACCTTGTAGCTACAATACGGATAATTGGGCGAGTTGGTTCCAATTCATTGCTTTTGGCGCAACACACACACAAAACAGAAATAAGCAGACACCACAGCTGATAACTCGCAACCGTTTTATTTGAAACAATGAAAAGAACTTTTATCTTGAAGAGATGCAGATGCCCCCCCCCCCCCCCACGAGAACCTACGAGAAAATTAAGTACACGTGTTGAACAACCTACGTCATCAACAGAACGAGAAAGATTACAAAGAACAAACTTTCTCACATATCTCTAACTTGATTAATACATGTGCTTTTCAAGTGTTGAAATTCCTTATCCAACTTTGTGATAAAAAATAACACAATTCTCCCTCATGTTTTGAGTATGAAATGCTTTAATTAACTCATTAATTTTATTTTGCCTGTCTGTTGACATAATCTTTGTGTCTGAAAAAAAATGCCGTACAGCTGCACAAAATGCAATGATCCACAGATGTGTACGTCCTAAACAATACAATGCGGCATCGTGCTCACTCAACCTGGTGTTTATGCACTTTCCAGATTGCCCAACATAAAGCCAGCCGCAACCGCACAGAACCTGGTAAACCGCTCCAGTTTTACAATGGTAACATTGGCTATGCACAGAACCTGGTAAACCGCTCCAGTTTTACAATGGTAACATTGGCTATGCTTTATCTGGCAGCTGTTTTTACTCACGTAGTGCAGGACTCTGCCATCTTTAAAAGTTGTGGTCACAGCTTTGAAAGCTTGTTGTGTCCTGTAAACACTGAGCTTACGCCACGTCTCGCTGCAATGTTCTTCAGACCGTGAGACAATATATGAACATATAAAAGAACTCCAAGCCTTTTTGCGCCACTTTTCAACCTAAGGCGTGATTCTTCCCGTACTTTTAATTACCAAAAAGGGTTTTCTGCAAACACTGGGTATGGTAAGCTAGTGCAGCAAGTCTAATCATATAGCCCTGAAAGCTGGAGCAGACCTCGTGTGCCCATGATTAGAGCAATAGGATCAAAAACAACAAAACGCTATGCATTTTTTACTACTTTTGAGAAACCAGATGCGAAATTTATGATGATGACGTGTGGTGCTTTATAGCGCAAGGGCGGATTGATGGCCAAAGAGCACCATTTTAATAGACAATAGATGTGGACAATCTAATGGCACGTGGCTGCATGGGGGCCTAAAAGTCCTCACTCTAAAGGCGGCTAAAACATATAGGTATTAAAATTATGTGTGTCATGAAATGTGTGTAGCAAAAATGAGTGGTAAATGGTAGCGATACTAAAAAAATTCGCACCATATCCACAGAATGAATAATGATGAGTGGGGCGAAGTGTCTGTCCATCCGTATGTGTGCCTGTTCGTGCATCTGTCCATGCATCTGTCCATCCGTCTGTGTGTCAGTCTATCTGTACGTGCATCCATTTGTGCATCTGTTTGTGCATTCGTTCGTGCGTGTGTCCGTGCCACCGTTCGTCCATCCGTGTGTCTGTCCGTCTGTGCACTCGTCGACCTAGTGAACACTTCAAGTAACGCCATCTCGCTTCTTTTTATCATATATTCATCATATACAAGTACCGCCATCTAGCGGACAATCCAAGCACTGCACAAGAGTATGTACCAGATTTCTGCTGTCAGCACTTTGTTAACACAGAGAGCATCATAATGACATTATGCTATGTTTTTCGTAACATGTGGACATGCGGATATGTGCTCGAGGGTGGGTATGCCACTGGTATGCGGGTATGTGCCACAGGTTACACACCACAATGACGAACGCACAAGCGACGCCATAAAGAGCTTCACCCCTAAAACCTGGAGGCATGGTATGAGCACAGATGCCTCGTGAACCACCCTTGTGGCCAAGGGCCATGAGACAAGTGCTTTTTGTGATGTAGCTACCAGCAGCGACCTCGGTTCAGAGACTGTGCCGCAGATTATCAGGGTAAATCACTAGAAATTAATGAACATCTTTTAAAAAGGCGAGAAGCGAATCATGTTTGAAAAGCGGGTCCCTACCAATTAACTTCGCAGGATGGAGAGGCATTTGCTCTCGGTAGGGTAATGGGAAGTGCTTTTTTAAAAAAAAGTAGGATCTGATGCACTGCACCGAATGAGGATATCGAGAACGATGAGGGTTTCGCATTTCTCGCAGATGGGTGGATCACCACAGGACAATAGGTAAAAGCGTGTCGTATATGTGTGTCCTATTCTCATCCTGGTAATTGTTACTTGTGTGCAGCGAGACCTCGATACTGGTGGCCATTTTCCAAGATTTCGTTTGATAACACCTAGCTTATTTTGTGTTTGTGTGTCCCATGTGTGCTGATAATAAGCCATCAGCTTTTGTTTTAAGAAGGATTTTATGTCTAGCGCTGAGAGAGCTATGAATAATTCAGCAGCGTTTTCGCAGACGGTTCTAGCTAGCTGGTCTGCCAACACGTTGACTTCAATCCCGGGATGTCCTGGCTCCCAGAATATTACGACAGGCTGTTTAGATGCATAAAGTATGCATAGCAGTGCTTAAAGTGAGACGATTCTAGGTGTTTTGTACAGTTTAAAAATTTTCAAAGCTTTTACAAAGCTTAAGGAGTCTGTATAAACAGCAGTGTGGTGCAACCTTACTTCCTGAAGGTATTTGATTGCTGCCAAGATCGCATACGCCTCTGCTGTAACACTGCTTGAGTTTGGCTGAAGGGCACCAGCATTCCAAAAGGACGGACCGACAACGGCATGAGATACACCAGCATGGGATTCCAACGCATGTGTATGGAGTTTAGGGCAGTTATATTTTTGTTAGGTGTAACATGGAGAGCATTGAACACTCTCTGAAGAACAGATGAAGCATCAAAGCACTGGAGACGAAACTTGGGATAGGCAAAAATCAGATGTATGCACTAAGGGACAAGGAAGGCAAAATAACTACCAATATGAATAGGATAGTTAAAATGGTGGAGGAGTTTTGCAGAGTGCTGTACAGTAGCCGGCACAGCCACGACCTTCATACAAGAACTAACAGTATCCAAGATAGCATCCCAAAAAGTAATGACAGAGGTCAGAAAAGCCTTATGCAAAGAGGCAAAGGGGCTGGTGAGGACCAGGTAACATCAGATCCATTGAAAGACTGAGGACAGATTGTGCTAGAAAAACTAGCCACCCTGTTTACGAAGTGTCTCCTGACAGGAAGAGTATCAGGATCTTCGAAGAATGCTAACGTTATCTTATTACATAAGAAAGGAGATGACAAGGACTTGAAGAATTACAGGCCGATCAGCTTGCTCTCCATTGCATACAAGCTATTTACAAAGGTAATCGCTAACAGAATTGAAACAACATTAGAATTCAATCAACCAAAGTAACAAGCAGGATTTAGAACAGATTTAGAACAAGGGGCAGACGACACGACCTCACTGAGTACTGCCTCAATGTCGGCATCAACAGGGCTTTCTTCTTCATCAGGTACTGCTTCTTGCACTTGAAAGCCAGCATGATGAAAGTATCTGTATATTGTTGTTGCCTTCACTTGCTCCCAGGCACGGGCCAAAATGTGGATGGCTGCCAATAAATCTATGCTGTAGCATTTCCCGCTGTCTGCACAAAGCAGCAATCAATGAAGCAAGTGTCTGCGGTAATGAACTTTAATGTTTTGAATAACCTCTTGATCCATCAGCTGGATCACTGCCATTGCATTGGCTGGCAAGGACTCCAGAGTGATGGCTTGGAGTCAACCTGACAGTGGGGGCTAGGCAATTACCCACGATGAAGACAACCTTCCTGCCTTGCCTCGTAAATCTTGCATCTTCCTTCCGTAGCCAGTTTTTGAAAATGGCCATGGTCATCCACGCTCTTCTGTTTGCATGGTACGCAACGGGAAGGTGTAGAACGCTCTTGAAACAACCTGGGTGCCTTGATTTTTTTATTACGAACAGCTTCAATTTCTCATCTCCTGCCTTGTTGGCACCCACCAGCACAGTGATGCGATCTTTCCTTCACTACAGGATTCGCCTTTGAAGGTGAGAGTCTTTGATGGAAGCGCTTTATAAAAAAGACTCATCTCGTCGACGTTAAGATGTCTCGTGGCTCAAAGCTCATCAAAATTTCCTTAGGCCGCCCCTTTTGCCAGTCGCTGCAGATGTCCCTGTTGAATGCAGCACTCTCTCCTGAGGTGACGATAGTTATAGCGTGGACTGCCACACTTCT